AAAAAAAAAAAAAAAAAAAGAAAAAAAAGAAGAATGGCTTTTAAACGATTCGTTGTGTTTAGGCCAAGCAATTCAGAAGACATTAATGCAAATACAAAATTTGCCAGTATTGGAGGCCCAATTACACGCTTAAACTGCGTTAACACGACACCAGACGAATTTGAAATCGGCCAAAAAGTTGTACGTTTGTAGACAGAACCTTGCTGTCCGGATAAAAAAAAATCTGAGACCTCAAAAATAGTCTCCTCCACAGCCGTTATTAGTTTCGGTCCCAGATCCTCACGCGCCTTTCCATTAACGGCTGCTCACTTGAGCACCACAACATTTGATTCCTTTGGTTTGATTTAGACAATGAAAAGGTTTTTTTTTGCCCATCAAATCCAATAGGCCTTTTGCAACAAGCCGTCACGTGCTGATATATGACTTTGATAACGAATCAATTCAGCGCAAGGTCCCTTTACAACTTGACAAGAACGACTGAGACAGAATAGAAAATAATACAAAATGCAATGCAAAATACAAATTAACAATATTTTTTGAATATTTTTTGAATATTTTTTAGCTTTTTAAAGTGAAAGACAAGGCACCGCTCTTTATACAATAACATATCTCTCAACAACACAAATTTAAGCTAATTTGTATAATCATACTAGCTCGACAAGCTCAATAAACAGCTGAATATTTGGTGGAATTTTATATCTTATTCAATATTGAAATAAACTATCTGTAGGAAAATATACAATTATTGCATGGAAGTCTTCTTTGGCTTGCCGATGGGAACCAGTGATGACAGGAGGCGAACGAATCTGCATCTTTTCTACGACGAAAAACAAATTCGAGAGTTCGTTAAAGATTTACAAAGCTAAAAAAAGGACGAATAATTGTTGTTGCAATATGCTCTTCGTGTTATATTTCATCCAGCAATAAAATAAATTAAGCTTATCTATAGAAATATTAAAAATGTTGAGAGAAGGGTTTGTCGATTGTCGAAAAGAAATGCTTGTTATAAAAAAAGTAATAATATACAATTGTTTGCTAAAAAAACACACACCTGAATTCTTGAAGAACACTTCTTGATCCATCTTTGACTGCAAGCAC